CCTCACCTCACCTCACCTCACCTCACCTCACCGGATTGTTGTTGTGGGGAAAATAGGAGGAGGAAGGAGTATTAGGTACGTTTGCCGCCTTGAGTTATTTATAAAAATAATAAAGGCAGGATAAAAAAAAATCTAAGAAATCCTGGATTCACAAATTACGTTGCAATTTACAGATCATGACAGCAGCATCATAATATACAGGGGAAAGTATGTGATGTAAACATAGAGAAGGGAGGACATACGGCTTCAAAACTGGCAAGGAACAAAGGCTTCAAGAGACTGTCCCTTGCAGACAGCTCTCTTCCCTGTAGAGAGAGTTCTCCCAATGATGAGAAGAGGATAAAACTAATGTCCTGGTTCCTATTGTCCCTCCTTGCATGTAGAGCTTTGTAGGAAGTACCCACCTCTGTTTTGCTAGCATCATCCTCATTTAATTGCCCTATTCTCACCAGAACAGCAACTCACTGTTCATATTATGACTTGTTTTGTTCTATCACTGCTTGCGATGTGGCTCCATAAATCTTGCATGATCCAGAAAGTAATGATCTTGATTCAGAAAATGACTTTATCTTCAAGTTTTAGTCTCATTTTTCCTCCTTACTTTATTAGGATTTTAGCTTAGCTAAGTCCCACGATCTTTGAGATCCCATTAAAATATAACTTCCTCTTTTTTCCCCTCTAACCCTTGGCTGCCGAGCCTGAGAAATTATAGTTGACTGATTAATTATGTGCCATCAAGTCAATGAAGGTAGATTTTCTCCAGGGCAATCTGTACCCAGCCTGGTCCTTCAGATCTTCCAGTGATGCACCCATCGCTGCTGCAATTGAGTTAATCCACCTTGCTGCTGGTTGTCCTTTTGTCTTTCCTCCCACCTTTCCCAGTGTTAAAACACTAATTTTCCAAAAGGCATTGAAATAAAAATTAGCTTTCCCCATTAGAGCCACTAGGTGGTGCTCCAGTTCCTAAGAAAGTCTTGCTTACATTGGGGAAATTGATTCAAAAAGGTGAACAGTTTATATCATCAAGTAAAGGAGGATTGCCTTGTATAAGATAAGTGCTGTGATTTAGAAGCCCACACTTACTATGCAGTCAGAGCCTGTTTCACACTCTGAGCGGCCCAGAGGTCAGAGTGTTTATTTGAGTCTCTTGATTGATTGATTGATTGATTGATTGATTGATTATGTGCCATCCAGTGTTGACTCTTAGCGACCACATAGATTGATTTTCTCTATAATGATCTGTCCCTAACCTGGCCCTTCAAGGTCTCCAATAGTGCACCCATCATCACTGTAACTGAGTCCATCTGCCTTGCTGCTGGTCATCCCTTTCTCTTTTCTTCCATCTTTCCCAGCATAGAGCCTTCTCCAGAGAGGGCTGAAGTAAGATAATTTGAGCCTGGTCATTGCACCTCAGAGCCTGAGAACTCTGAGTTGATTTGTTCAATAATCCATTGGTTTGTTTTCTTGGCTGTCCACGGTATTCTCAAGAGTGCTCTCCAACACCACAGTTCAAAAGCATCAATACTCTTCTTATCTTGCTTCTTCAACGTCCAACGTTCACTTCCATGGAGTGTCACAGGGAATGCCATGACTCGCACAGTTCTGATCTTTGTAGGTATAGAGACATCATAGCATTTTAATACCTTTTCCAAGCCCTTCATGGCTACTCTACAAAGTGCTAGTTTGTGGCATATTGTATTTTTTGACTGCTTGTTCCTTTATGGTTGGTGGTTGATCCTAAAAGGCAGAAGCTATCCATCACTTTGATATCTTCATTAACAGAAACATTTTCCCCACTGTTTTTCATCCATTGAAGTCAATGGCCTGGGAAAAGGGAGTGCGTGGGGAAACCCAAAATAGGAAAATAATTCTTGGGATAATAATAGTAGTACAAACAATGAAGATCACAACAAAACATAAACCAGTATCAACAATTTAATAATCATTTTAAAACATTGCCTAATCCCAGTGCTACCATAATTGAAATCATGATCAAAAGATCATAACAATAACATGAAGGCCCTGAAAAAATAAGTATTTTAAGGCTTGTCTAAACCTTAGGAGATCAGGCTTCAAATGAAGTTCAAGTATTTGGACTGATGTGATTTGATTCTACTTTTTCTGAAAAGCTTTACTGCTTTCAGTTATCCCCATCTGATAATTTCAAATGTTGAACCGTACTTTAAATGGACTCCTATACTTGTGTGGGGTCTGGGCAGTTATGCCCACTGTCCTCAGTGAAAATCCTGGTTGCATTCCAATTCATATCTAATCAGAAATAAATCTGAATTTGATGGAACTGACTCCCAGGTGACTTTGTATATACTTGGGACCTTGCGTATACGCCCAATTGATCTGTGTGGAATTGCCCTAAAGATTTCAATGTACCATCAGTATGTTTTTATTTTATTAAAAATGTATTAATTCCAAGGAGTATAGATCTAGAATTGACAATAGGAGAGAGGGCTAATATGAGGATAGTCATGTACAGTATAGATCCAACCAAATGCAGTATGTTGATTACAGCTCAGAAATTCCTGACACATGAAAACTTGAGAGCAATTATAAAATAAAAATACCTACTAAACAACTGACTGATTTTCCCAGGAAACTTACAGTCTATAGTCAGCAATGCTTACCTCACCCAAAGCTATATATTTTATTATTTTCTTTTTTGATTTGCAGGAACAAATGCGAACCGAAGCCCGACGCAAAAATCTCCTTATTTTGATTTTACATTATTTAACTGAAGAAGGGTAAGTATTCATTTGCTTTATAAGATACACATTACGGATCTGTAATTGTTGCCACAAGCAAACTTCACAGAGTCTCTGATAATGAAGTTCAGCTTCCTTCCAGACTAGAGCTCCCATCAACCCCAGCCAATCTGACTGAGCATGATTGGCGGTGAAGTCCAACCCATAGAGAGAAAATGCAGATCCAGTTCCTGAATCAGTGATCCTGGTCCTGTTTTATACTTTTCCTTTTTTCTGCATAAAACTTATGTCTTAAATGGCTACAACTCTCAAGCCTTAACAATACACTGAAACTTTCTAAATCTGTCACTCACAGGTATGTAGATGCTGCTAACGCACTGGAGCAAGAAACAAAGTCTGGGTTGCGTCATTTTGAAGTTTGCGACAATGTCGATCTTGAGACCATTTTGATGGAATATGAAAGCTACTACTATGTCAAGTTCCAGAAGTACCCCAAAATTACCAAGAGAGCTGTAGACTCCAGTACGTTGCACTGTTCGGAAAGAACATTTTTCTTCTGTTTTAAATGTGAATGTTGTCGCCGCCGTTAATACTTAAGTTTAATGCTCCTTCCCCCCACAAAGGAACTCTATTAAAAATTGAAGATGGCTTGCCACTGAATTTCATTAGTGCATCCCTTGGTATATTGGCCTCTCCACGTGGTGGAGCACGGCTCACTTAGCAGAGCTCATGCAAGACCATCACCTGCCAGGCTTGGATGCAATCCTTTTCATCAAATCCAAGGAGAGAACTGAGCAACACGGTTTTTGTCTGGGATGATCTGCAGACGGACCTCACCCACCGGAAGGAAGCATTCACAGAGTCATAGAATCAGGGTTTGGAAGGCACCTTGGAGATCATCTCATCAAATATTGGCAATTTAAGATGTGTGGACTTCAACGTTCAGGATTCTGAGCAATTCCCCCTGCTGGCTGGGGAATTCTGGGAGTTGAAGTCTACACATATCAAAGCAGCTAAGATTGGGAAACACTGATCTAATTCAACCCTTGCCTGCCAGCAACCTTGGATTTCTGTTTCTGCCTTGAGCATGAGAACTGTTCAACGTGTTTACTTCTGTTTTGGATTTTTACTGCATATGATTCAAGACCCTTAGTGTTCATCTGGAATAAAAGTTGGCCCTTCCCACCTAAGCCCCTTCTAGCTTAGCACACCTAGAGGGCATTCAGTTCAGTAAGCCAGACTGCCACAAAAACAAATAGTAAACCAGAGCGTAACACAAACTTGAGAACACCCTTAATTCTGTTCAGAGTAATATTTTCTTTTCTTTTTTTTTAAGTGCTGTTTTCCCCTCTTCCACAGCAGACAATAAATCAAGAAGTGGAGGGAAATCAAAAAGGTAAGAGAAATGGTAGCTGCTAGGACAGCATTAGGTGATAACTCTCTTGCAGCCACATTTCTTCATTCTTTTAATTTTTTCACCGCTCTTGTAGTGCAACCAAGTATTGCATTCAACATGTTAAGTCTTGTGGTTGGACGGACGGATGGATGGATGGATGGATGGATGGATGGATGGATGGATGGATAGCAGTGAACAGCTGCAGAGGGTGTCCCAAAAGTCAAGATGGCAGCTGTAGCCACATGATCAAAGCCTCTCCCTTTGATCGCATGG